CTATTTTAGGAAGATTTTTCTTTGTTATATTTTCATAGCTCTATGTGTTTTTGGGAGGAGATTTCCACTGCTCTACTCACGCCGCCATCCTGGTTTCATTAGTTTTTAATTATGGTTGTGAGATGGTGAAGGCCTTTGGAACTGTTGTACTGAAGCTGAGCTCCTATTATTTCACAGGTTTTCTTGCATTATTGATTGTAAGTAACATAAAGATGTGTTCAAATGAAATATCCTTGCTTTATCACTTTCGTTGGTCTGAAAGAAGAACTAAGGTTAATACCCTCATACTTTCTCTTTTAGAAAGCCTTTTTAACAAACATTACCAAAAATCCAGTTATGACCTATGATTCTGTAATGATACCATCTACAATTTTTTAAATTAAAAACCTCCTGTCTTTCTTTTTAGGGAATCCCAGGATTTTCTGGAAATCAAGGATTAATGGGACAAAAGGTGTTTTCATGAAAGTTGAAGATTTTGGCCTGGATCTGCCGATTAACAGGGTAAAGTGGTGATGTGTCTTCATACAGTATACATTTTTGCCACATTCTTGGTAACAGTTAATTGTTCAAATATGACATAATTTAAGATGCTATTATTTTGCCCTCATAATTATTTTTTGTTGTTATTTTATACAGATAATGTGGATTTATATACAGGCTGTTACTTGGTTCCTTCTATGTTTAGTGCTCTTAGCCCATCCTTTTGTGATAATTTTAGTACTAACTGAACTATATTTTTGAACTTCCATTAGTACAGTCATCTTGGTATTAAACTTCCATTTTTTATTTAATTACAAATATATTTTACTCTTGCTTTTGAGGTAGTTTTGTAGGGTATACAGCCCAAGGCTGCTATTTTCTCTTAATACCTTGAGGGTTGTCTTTTATTGTCTCCTGACTTCCACTGATAATTATGAAAAAATCTGCTCTAATCTATCATTTCTTTGTAAATGATCTGTCCTTCCTTTGGAATTCTATAAAGGTATTTTGTTTTCAGTGTTCTTAAAACCCACTACAATGTATCTAAATATGGATTTCTCTTTATTCATCCTGGTGGAAATTCATTTTGCTTTCTGGGTCTGTGGAGTTATTTCCATTAAATCTGAAAGATATCAGCCATTATCTCTGTATTACATCTATTCTATTCTCTCTGTTCCCTCTTCCTGGAATTCTAGTTAGATATATTTTATTTTCTATTTTTATCTCTGCATCTCTAAACAGCTTTTTATTTTTTATATCCTTTATTCTTAATATTCAAGTTAAATTTTTTGGATATATTTCCAGTGTACTTATTTTTTCCTTTACTATTTCTAATTTGCTGTTGAAACCATTAATTGATTTTTAAAAATTTTCAAGCAATCAAATTTCTAATTTCCAAAAGTTTAAATTTTAAATGACATCTTTTTATTTTTGATATTCTCGTTTTATTTTCAGTCCTAACAGTCTTTCATGATTCTATTTTTTTATTTATTAAGTTTCATATGTAGTCTTCATTTCCTTTGCTAAAATGATTCTAATATCTGCACAAAGTTGTTAGTCCTGCTAACTCTTGTCCCTGTGGCTTGCTGCCTCCTCTTTATTTATTGTTGATTTTGAGCTCATTGCTTTGTCTTAGTTGATGGGAGTCCTGTGAGCCTAACTGGGGCATGAAGAGCTGCCTGCTGCTGGTAACTGTGGCTACTGTTTCAGAGTATAGCATATTCTATGCTGCATACTATACATATTCAGAGTATAGTATATTCCCAGCCCTCTTTAAGAGTCCGGAGTCATCCTAGTTAGGAAATATTGCTGCCCTTTTCCCATGATGGGCACCACAGTCAGCTTCTCATGAGCTGTGCCTGTGTTCAGACACCTCCAGCCCTCTTGGCTCCTGCATCTCCATCTCTGGCAAGCTTTGGGCACAGTTCCAAATCCTGAAAAACATAGCCCCAACCCAGAGTATATTTTATTAAAATAAGAGATATTTTGAAGACTTTTCCCGTTTCTGAATATGATCAGCACTCTCGCACAGAGGATGCTCTTCCCAAGGTGTTTTATTCTGGATTCAGAGAATCCCTTGGAGCATCTGGTCAGCAACAATGCCAGAAATTGAAGTCCAAATGATATTATTATGTACCTGTATTTTTCTTAACTTGTGTTTCACTCTCATAACTATTAAACTATGACAAGTAAGAAAAGTGTTCACTTGATTGTTTTCCCCCACTTGTCTCACCTCAGCAGCCCTGTGTGAACGGCTAGGTCTTCCTTTGACAGAATGGCAGAGTCCTTCTTGATTTCCTAATGAAGATCTTTGACTTAGTAATCCAGAGACCCTACTAGGCGCAGGTCTTTAAGGTTTTAGATTCTTGGTTTTTCTACCTTGTGTTGCTCCTGTCTTATAGTAGACAAAGGGAAGGCAGAAACCCTGGGTACATTGGTATTGGCTTATCATTCCTTAACGGTTTTTTGGGAAATTTATGGGAATGAACTGATAATTTACAATGTTAAATGTGACCTCTATTTCATTTTTAGGGAGATATTGGGCCTCCAGGACCTCTAGGGAAGAAAGGAGCTCCAGGGATACCTGTATGTTAATATCATTATTATTTATTATCAGTTTGAAATATTGTTACAACATACTAGGAGTTTTTATTCTGGAGTTCACAAAATTGGAGGGGGGTCCAGCAATGATACTATTGGGGTCCATAAATTCCATCTATTTTATAAAAAATATTATATTTATGTCCATTTTTCTAAAGAAGTCCAGATTTCTTTAGATTCTCTGAAAACTGGCCACGCAAAGAAAGATCAGGGATTCTTACTGTTGACAAACCATAAAGCAAATATTCTAGCTATTAGTCACAGACGAAATACCCAAAACCCAAATGCCATGAAAAAGTCTAAAAAATCAATGGTTATTATTTTTTCATTTAAAAAATTACAAATTTATTACTCTAATGAGAGAGTCTATATTCAGAAGAGGTAGTATAGGAATGTCCTAACTAAGTGAACAGTTTGGAAGTTTTGGGAGTGAAACGTTCCATGTGTTTGATATTAGAAATTATGAGACTCCTTTTGTGTGCGTAAAGATTCCATAAGAAATTCCCAAGTTTATTGCTAGAAGTGATGTTAATGTTAATCTATGAATCAAATTGCCTATATAAAGTCTTTTTCTTTAAGTAAAACTGACCACTTTCATGTTTGATAGTTTATGACTTTTCATTTAATCATGTGAGTTAAAAAGCCAAATGTTTTACCCAGTGCTTTGAAAGATTTGGTGAACTTTGCATGTAAGAATAAATAGGAAAAAATATTGTCGATTAGATATGAATTCAATTTCGGGGAGATGTAGGAGATTTTTCCTTTGAAATGGAATATTCTTCCTCTACCTTCCACCATTACTACCAAGCTATTTTTTCATTGAAATAGTAAATTACACTTGGCTATTTATTGGTGTCTAAGTTAACCTCCAGAAAATGAAGGTACTGAAGTTCAAGAATATCTATATTTAACATTACTAATGTTTTATACATTATATGATAAACTAGTATGTTTTACATTTTATAGTTGTGATAACATCCTAAATTGGCAGCAAAGTGCACAGTCGTGATGAAATGGTATTTTCAATGTGGCCATATTGAGATTATGTTTTCTGATGACAGTAATTGAATGGTTTTTTGCTCACCATATTTTCTTCGCTATGTTTAAGAGAAAGTACATGTTTTTAATATATGTAATGGTGTTGACAGTGTAGAATTTAAATTTAATCAGTTCCTTGTTAGAATAGTTATCATTGTCTTTTTTTTGAATCGTATGGTTAGTTAAAAATAATGCTCTTTTATAACTTGAAGAGAGATTATCATATTCAGAGAATTATTAGGTTGTAACTTTCAAAAAATTGTTCAGGATTATAGAAATTGTGAGTAATATTGGTGAAGGTAACATCTATGAAGAAACCTAATTCTTAGCCATCATGACAAAAGAAAGTATGATGCAGAAAAACAATTAACGTTTGTCACTGCCTTATATTAGCCACCCAGTAATTGCTGCTATTTGTTGGTTGCATGACCAACCAAGTTATCAAGGTTTTGCTGGCCTTCCTGCCTTCTGCATAGTTTGATTCTTTATTATCCTTTATTTGGATTTATGTAGGCAACTTTCTCAAATACTGCATTATTTTTTGGTGGATTAATAATTATGAGAATATGTAATTTAGAAATAGATTTAGTATTTTGTAATGCTCTTCTCTAAATTACTCTTGAAATTCCCATTTAAAATGTAGGGTTTGATGTGAAGTGATGGCTTACCTGGTCAGCCTGGAACACCAGTATGTAAGGTAAATAAAATAAAATTAACAAGAGTGAGGAGTTTGTGAAAAATGACCATCTATGTACATCAGTAAGTCTTAACTATACTGATTTTATTTTGTATGTGGTTTTAATTCTATGAACAATCAGTTGTAAGAGTGAAATCTTAGGCAAAAACTAAGCATATTAAAAAAGCTAATGTAACGCATGTCTGGTTTAAATCAGACAAAGTCCAGAATTCCTCAGTATTCAGTCCCCTCCTCCCTTATTGGCATCTCCGAGTGCACTGGGGAATATCTTCTACAGAGTTCTGTGGGGTCAGTGCCAAGCCCAGCAACTACAGTGTTAGTCATTACGACTGAGGATAACTTTACCAACTTTCAAGTCCTCTTCTTAGTATTTGTATCTAGTGAAATGTATATAGATCTTTTATTTGTATAATTCCTTGCAGTGAGTTTCATTAGGCAGTCCCTTCCTCAGGACTGTGGGTAAGAGAGCATGTTATGTTTACTTTCAAACTTAAAAAAGTAAACTACACTCGACAAATATATTTAGGATGTCAGGTCATTCTCAATGTAGAACTGAAAATGTTTGGATAGCATGGTTTGACTGTTTTCTACATGTTGGGATCCTCCACTAAGATAATTTTCTTTTCTTGTTTTATTAGAGGATCAAATCAAGTACCTCATGGATAGACTCAAAAACTATTCTCAACTACGTAATGAGTAGGTTCTAGGACAACCTTCCAAAAGGAAGTGATGGAATCACTGTTTTAAAAGTATGCAATTTTAAGTAGACATTGTCCCAGAATAGAGCTTGGCATACAAAGTGAGTAGATGACTTAATCTACTTTTCATTTCTAAGGTACTTAGAGAAAGAGATAGGATAAAGGGTCATGGGAGCCCCCAGTGATTAAGGAGAAGTAGCTATCCTTTCACCAGTGGCGGGTCCTTATGAGTCCTTGGAGCGCTGGGTGTCCTGGCAGCAGTAAGTGTCCATGGAGATGCTAGAAAACTCTTGAGTGACTGGGCCAGCCATGTGGAGAGTCTCCATAATTTCTCCAGGTTATTTTGTAAGGGGATAGCCTTGTATTCCTTAAATAACTGGGGATACAGTGGACTCTCCCAAGGTGTTCTAGATGCTCTCATACTTAAGAATGCTGCCGAAGATTTCATCAGCTGTTTAAAATTAACCACTTCTCATTTTTGGCCTGACAGTGAACTGGAGGTCAGTTAAGTCTTTTGGCTTTTCAATAGAACATTCTAGAACAATGTATTTTTGGTGACCACCACTTGAGTAGATTATACTGCAATGGCTGGGTAGGCAAGTGGATGTTGCCAGTATGAGAGCTAATTTTTTCATGAATTACTATAAAATTTGGTTTCCCTCATCTTGTACTTGTGCAATTATTTTGTTGAAAATAGATTTAAGATGTTAAAATTGTACGTTTTTAATGCAGTATTTTCAATGAAACATTTCCACTTCCTTTCATGCAGTATATTAGCTCAGGTGTTGGAATCTTTCCTGTAAAGGCCCAGATGAATATATTTTATTTAGTCTTTGGAGGCCACAGTTTGCTTACCTCTATATTAGCTTACCTCTTCCAGCTTTGTCAACTAATATCTCTGAACTCTGCTTTCAATATCAATGGTACAAGTTTTGGAGTGGGGGGAAAATCTGTATTAAGCAGAGAAGGGATGAGGCTGACACTCTGTAGTAAATCATAGAAACAGTTCTCATTTAGCTCATACCACAATTTTAAAAATAGGTTCTGAACCATAGGTAAGTCTCCCAAAACATACTGCATGGAAGGTTTTAAAAATATCACCTAAATGATAGTAAGACATATTAACATAATCAAGTCATCCAACTTTCAACACTTGTTGTCACCACTGAGTTTCAGCCTAATCACTTGTCATATTATAAATTTTACGAGACTACCATTCCATGTTTCAATAGTGTTATGTGCCAATGTTTTAATTAAGTCAAACTATTACATTCATATGGACTGGGTTGTGATTCCAGGTAGCAAAATATATTTGAAAACCAGACCACCTTTGACACTGTCGCCTTATTACCCAACACGTGAAGTCTCCCCTTTTACTATCCAATCCTCTTTTCTTACCTTACATTCTCTGCTCTGCCAACTTGGTTGTGCTCTCAAAGTTTCTCCTGTGAGAAAGGACAGCCTGAATCCTGAGAAAGAGCACAAGTTAAACATTTTCTAATTCATACTTCTTCAAAAAAGCCACTCTACATCTGAAGCCAATTTTCTTTCCTTCAATTGCATACTGAAGGTGAGTTTAACTGAGAAATAAAATAGCACAAAGATGAAGATTTTCAACTCATAGAAAGCTGTTAAAATACATGGCGGAAGAATGCAAAGAGCACCTAAGTAATTAGTGCTGGTCTCTGAGACTTGAATCTCTTCCCTTGCTTGGGGCCCTCAGCTTTAAAACATGCTTTTAGAAAGCTTTGTAAGTATGTGGATGCACTTCCTTGTTTAAAAGAACGTTTTTAGTAAGTATGCTTAGTATAGTGAGTCCATATGTCAAATAATTGGAAATTTGAAAATGTAAAAATTATTTTAGACATATTCCCTTAAGTGTATAAAATATATTGCAACTACGTTAAAAAATAATTAAAATGGTTTGATACATTGACAGGGAAATAAAGGTGAACCTGGACTCCAAGGGACACCTTGGACTTCTGGGCTCAAGGTAATTATGCTTTAATGCATTTGGTAGTATTTTCAAAGAATTATGAATTCCCCTCATTATCTGAGATTAATTATTTTGTAACCCGTAAGAAAAACATACCTGAAATTAGGATAACTTATTTCACAAAATTAAGTTATGTGAAGGAAACGAGCAATGTGGGTTTTCATTTCTGTGTTTAGGATGCTATCATAGTTTGGGTTAAAAAAACATGAAATATACCTTCGGCTCAATTTTCCTAGAAATGGTTAAAGTTGTCTGCTGATCCGAGCAGACTCTCTGGCCTGAAGAAGGTCACTCTGGTCCAGAGCTGGAAACGAGACTGTGCGGCTCCCGCAGCGGCTATTGTTTATTTTCAGTGTGGGGACTCACAGCTGCTTTTTTCAGTTTCCTCCAAACCAGTGATTAATGTTTATTTCTACGGGATTTTTCAACTCTCTTCATGCTATAAAAATCTAGAGTAATCAAGGGAGGAACAATCTAAGACAGGCACAGTCGCAGGGGGGCCATCAGGTGAGAAATTGGGGACCCACAGAGGTGAGGCTTAGAACCTCCCACACCCCCCGTGTTTTGAGAGAAATCTTCTGCATTCGTGGATGTTTTGTGACCCTTGTCTAGCTTGGATTAATACTCAGTCTATAGGCACACACCTGATCCTCTACATTTGCCCTCTCACAGCACTAAATTATGTTTTCTACCTTTATCTTGAATCTACCTACCACTTCAGCATTTTATTAATAATAATAATACTAATAATAATAATAATAATAGTAATAAGGGAGAAATGTGGGATTCACATTTAAATCAAGTATAAAAATCAATGAATAATCATAGTTGACCTGATCGTTTATAGTTCATGATGCGTGATCAAAACTGAAAGTTTCTGTGATATGACTGCCTTTGGACTGTTCACCATATAAGAACTCATTCACTATGTAAGAACTTGTTCACCATGTAAGAACTTGTTCATTATGCTTCAGAAGATTGGAGACTGACGAGAATTAGGCTTGGGGTTGATTAATGATTGTGCATTGAGTCCCCTATACAGAACTTTATTCTTGTTAACAACCATTTGATCAATAAATATGAGAGATGCCCTCTAAAAAAAAAAAGAAAAAAATCGAGTAATATTCAGGAGCTCAGGAGTGGGCACAGTGAGCAAAGGAAACCAAACCTAATTTCTACAAAAGAGAGCAGTCTTTATTTAATGTGATAGTTTTGGACTAATGGTAAAGCACAAAATAATGAAGCAAGTTCAAGATTGCGTGACAGATATATGTCATCGGTACATCATTACTATATACTTACAAGAACTTCCTTATTTAATACCTTTAAAAAAACCTTTATTTCATAAAGGAAATAATCTCTATTTATAATGGAGAGTGGAGAAACTGAGTTAAAGTAACTCATGGAATATTACCTGTACTGAAAAAGCTCAAGAATTTGCTTCCAAGAAAATTAATTTCCATATGTATAAAGAAAAAAATAAATGTGTAGACAATTTAAGTTCAAAGAGGTTTATCCCAATGTTTGTAAATAAAAATATGAAAACTAATATTTAACAATTGAAATTTAAAATAAAAGCAAATCAATACAGTCGAATACTATTCTGTAATTAGAAATCGTATTTTCTAAAATGGCATCTAAGTGGCACATAAAGAACTTCACAATATTAATACATCATGAAGTAAAAGACAAAGTTATGCATACACAGTGAGCACATTTCAGTAACTAAATTCTGTATGTGTGTTTGTGGGAGGTAGAGAGAAAATATATAACAAAATTAAAATAGTAGTAAGATTTTCAATGATTTTAATTCTATTTCCTTCCAGTTTTTTAACAGTAAGTTCTTTAAAGTAGCAATAAAATGAGAATAAGCAGTTGTAAGGAGGAAAAGAAAGTCTTAGTAAATAAAACAAGATACCTGTGTTTATTATCTTCACTACATTATTGTTTATTGTTGAATTTATAAAATGTAAAAATAACAAATATTTATAAAAGTTTTAAATATGTGCTATCAGATTTTTTTAACTGGTAAAGAGAAAAAATAGCAAGTTTTACTGGGACTCCTTTAAACTTGTCATTCTGCACTATTTCCATAATAGTAACTCTAAATTAGTCAACAAATTTTTTAAACATTAATCTAAAATTTGAGATATGTGCAGAGATAAAAAGAGTGGTGTTTTTCCTAGGCAGTAGCTCTTCAATCTCTGTAATTTCTGTGTTAGTGGGAGAGCAAGGAAGAGTGGGTCCCCAGGAGAACCAGGATATCTGGGTGGACCTGGAATTCAAGGAAAATGGTATGCATTGTTCAGGAGATATTTATATATTTTTAATCAGCTATT